AGAGAGAGAGGGAGAGAGAGAACCCCAAGCAGGCTCTACATTGTCAACGCAGAGCCCAACTCGGGGCTCAAACTCACGAGCCGAGAGAGTATAACCTGAGCCAAAGTCAGGAGTCAGGGGCTCGCCCGACTGAGCCGCCCAGGTGCCGCTACCCTCCTCCAAATTTAAAACACTTCAGTACTGCCCTGCGCTCACACATCGTTCTCAAATGGAGTCCCACCCAGGGCACACTCTCCACGTGATGGCCACATAAGAAAACACGTTCCGGTGGTGTCTTCATCCATCTGGCTGCTATAACAGAATAATCACAGACTGGGTGGGTTACGGAAGGAACATTCACTTCTCATAGTCCTGGAGGCTGGGAATCTGAGATCAGGCGCTGGCAGATTCCGTGTCTGGTGAGAGCCCACTTCCTAGTTCACAGATGACCATTTTCTAGAACGCTGTGCCCTCATGATGCAGAAAGGGCAAGGGAGTCTGGGAGGCCTCTTTTCCAAGGGCGCTAGTCCCATGCATGAGAGCGCCACCCTCAGGACATAATCTCCTTCTAAAGCCACCCGCTCCTACTATCATCACATTGGGAGTTAGGTTTGAACAAGCAGATTTTGGGGGGACACAGTCTATAGCATGTAGGGTTACTCAGGTCCCACTGCCTAGCTTGGGGCTGTGGAATATCACACACAGACGGCCTCAGCTGGGCCTTCACTCTTTTCTCTTCAAGCCAAGATGGCATATTAAAAAGCAAGACACTGAGAGAAATACTGCTTTAGGATCCATTTGGATTCGCTAATTTCTAGTAACGGAAAAATTCTTCAGGTTCAGTATTTTATTGTCAGACGTAATTGCTACTCACTGGCGTGTGTTTTGACCCTCAGTGTGAAGTATCCATTTTCCAGAGTGAAATGCCAACTCTTCACGTGAAGAGCCCAGACTGTCAGTGATGTGATCTCCGTTTACTTCTCCAGCTTCCTGTCTCTTACTCTATTATTTTCATTTTTTCCCCTTTAAGAAAGAGTAAAGTGGACCCCCCTGGCATTCATAGCCAGATTCTGGTGTTCTGTTAAATATAAATGATCACAGGGCTCCGGGGTGGCTCAGTGGGTTAAGTGTCTGACTTTGGCTCAAGTCATTATCTCGAGGTTCACAAGCTCACGCCCCGCGTCTGGCTCTGTGCTGATAGCTGGGAGCCTGGAGCCTGCTTCAGATTCTGTGTCTCCCTCCATCTCTGTCCTTCCCCTGCTGTCTCTCTCTTTCTCTCTCTCTCTCTCGCTCAAAAATAAATAAACATTTTTAAAAATTTAATAAATAAATGATCTCAAGGGATTTCACACCCGAAGAGTCCACTCTGTGACTGGGATGGAGCCAGCTAAGGACAAGAATACTCCACGGTCCTGGGGCGCCCGGGTGGCGTAGTTGGTTAAGCGTCCGACTTTCGCTCGGGTCATGATCTCGCGGTTCGTGGGTTCGAGCCCCGCGTCGGGCTCTGTGCTGACTGCCAGCTCAGAGCCTGGAGCCTGTTTCAGAGTCTGTGACTCCCTCTCTCTCTGACCCTCCCCTGCTCACGCTGTCTCTCTCTCTCTCTCCTAGAAATAAATAAAGCATTTAAAAAAAAAAAAAAAGAATACTCCACGGTCCTGTCTTAACACAGACACAGACAAGAGCACTGTCTGAGATACAAATAAAAAAAAAAAAAAAAAAGAATACTCCACGGTCCTGTCTTAACACAGACACAGACAAGAGCACTGTCTGAGATACAAAATGACCACAGAGGCCCAACCACACCCTTAATTCAGAGTAACATGAACGACTGCAGGAATATTTACCAAATGTGGTTTTAGCCTTTGCTGTGGACTGAATGTAGTATCTCCCCCCAACATTCACATGCTGAGGCCCTAATCCCCAGTGCGGTGGTATTTGGAGGTGGGGCCTTTGGGAGGCGATTAGGTTGGGAGGGTAGAGTTTCCTGAATGAGTTTTGTGTGCCCTTATAAAAGAGACCCTAGACGGCACCCTTACCCCTTCTGCCATGTGAGGGCACAGGGAAAATCCCTCCATGAACCGGGGCATGTGCTGTCACCAGACTCCGGACATGTTGGTGTCTTGGTCTTGGATTTCTCAGCCTTCAGAACTGTGAGAAATAGATTTCTGTTGTCCATAAGCTACCCAGTGTGTAGTGGCCTAAACTGACTAAGACAGACACCCCTGGCAGCTCAGAGACCTCACCTGGTGAGCTGCCATATATTCACGTAACTAAAACCCTTATCGAGCTATTACTTTTCTGTCATTCTAGAAAATACTATTCATCATGGCCTTCCCAGCATTCAGAATTATAGCCTCTGCCCTGTGGATAGGGCACTCAGTGTGAACACTGAGCTGTGTTCACTTGGAGTTTAGCCTCTTCAACACATAGCTGGCAGACGATGGACTTTTCCTGGCAGGGTCCCGCGGCCCTCAACCTCAGACTTGGAGGAGAGGGAGCCTTGTGTTCATGCCCCTGGAATGGAGTTTCTATGGCCCTGAACTGGAATAGGGATGGGAATGGAACCAGCAATTTTCTTCTTAAAACCCCAAACTGGGAATGATTACAATGTCCATCAGTTGGTGAATGCATAAATGAAACATGGTGTATAGTCATATGATGTAATAATATGGAGAATAAAATGTCATTAACTACTGGTGTGTGCTCTAACATGTTTGTACCTCAAAAACCTAATGTTGGCTGTAAGATATCAGGCGCAGTAGACTTTATATTATGTGATTCGATGTATATGAAATATTCATAAAAATAGTTCCTTAGAGATTGAAAGCAGATCAATGAGTTCCTGGAGCTGTGAAAGGAGTGTTATTGATTACAAATGGGCACAAGGGTCCTCTTTAGGCTAATAAAAATGTGTGACAATGATTACACAACTCTATAAATTTACTAAAAAAGTCATTGAACTGTACACTTACAATGATTTAAGTTATGTTGTATGAGTTATACCTCAATAAAACAGTTATTAAAAGTTTGCAGGTTGCAGGGCACCTGGCTGGCTCAGTCAGTAACTGAATGAAGTAACTCTTAATCTTGGGGCTGTGAGTTGGGTGTAGAGAGTACTCAAAAAAAAATCTTTAAAATAAATAAATAAATAAAAACCATAAAATACCTAGGAATAAGCTTAACTGAAGAGGTGAAAAATCTATACACTGAGGACTATAGAAAGCTTATGAAAGAAGTTGAAGTCAACACACACACACAAACAAAGGAAAAATATTCCATACTCCTGGATAGGAGGAACAAATATTGTTAAAATAGCGTTACTACCCAAAGCAATCTGCATATTCAATGCAATCCCTATCAAAATAACACCAGCATTCTTCACAGAGCTAGAACAAACAACCCTAAAATTTGTATAGAACCAGAAAAGACCCCGAATAGCCCAAGCAATCCTGAAAAAGAAAACCAAAGCTGGAGGCATCACAATCCCAGACTTTAAGCTATATTACAAAGCTGTAATCACCAAGAGAGGATGGTACTGGCAGAAAAACAGATACTCAGATCAATGGAACATAATAGAGAACCCAGAAATGGACAAACGTATGGCCAACTAATCTTTGACAAACCAGGAAATAATATCCAGGAATAAAGACAGTCTCTTCAGCAAACGGTGCTGGGAAAACTGGATAGTGACATGCAAAAAAAAAAAAAAAAAAAAGAACCTGGACCACTTTTTTACACCCTACACAAAAATAAACTCAAAATGGATGGAAAACCTAAATGTAAGACAGGAAGCCATCAAAATCCTAGAGGAGAAACCAGGCAAATACCTCTTTGATCTCAGGTGCAGCAACTTCTTACTCAACACGTCTCAAGACGCAAGGGAAACAAAAGCAAAAAAGAACTATTGGGACCTCATCAAGATAAAAACTTCCTTTGCCCAGTAAAGGAAACAATCAGCAAAACTAGAAGGCAACTGATGGAATGGGAGAAGATAGTTGCAAATGACATATTAGATAAAGGGTTAGTATCCAAAATCTATAGAGAACTCAGCAAACTCAACACCCAAAAAACAAATAATCCAGTGAAGAAATGACCAAAAGACATGAATAGACACTTCTCCAAAGAAGACATCCAGGTGGCTAACAGACACATGAAAAAATGCTCAACATCACTCATCAACAGGGATTCACAATTTAAAACCACAATGAAATATGACCTCACACCATTCAGAATGGCTAAAATCAACAACGCAGTCGACCATAGATGTTGGTGAGGATGCGGAGAAAGGGCAACTCTTTTGCACTGCTAGTGGGAATGTACACCAGTGCAGCCACTCTGAAAAACAATATGGAGGTTCCTCAAAAAATTAAAAATAGAACTACCCTACAGTCCAGCAATTGCACTACTAGGTTTTTATCAAAGGGATACAGGTGTTCTGTTTCAAAGGGGCACATGCACCCCAATGTTTATAGCAACACTATCGACAATAGCCAAATATGGAAAGAGCCCAAATGTCAAACAACTGATGAATGGATGAAGATGTGGTATATATACACCCGGAATGCTACTCAGCGATCAAAAAGAATGAAATCTTTCCACTTGCAGGAGCGTTGATTGAACTAGAGGGTGTTATGCTAAGTGAAGTAAGTCAGAGAAAGACAAATATATGATTTCACTCATGTGGAATCTAAGAAACAAAACAAATGAACATAGGGGAAGGGAAGCCAAAATAAGATAAAAGCAGAAAGGGAGACAAACCTTAAGAGACTCTTAAATACAGAGAACCAACTGAGGTTTGCTGGAGGGGTGTTGGTTGGGGGGATTGGTTAAATGCACGAGACAGATTAAGGAAGGCACTTACTGGGATCAGCACCGGGTGTTCTGTGTAAGTGATGAATCACTAAATTCTATTCCCGAAATTGTGATTATATGTTTACTAATTTGGATTAAAAAAAGGAAAGGGGAAAAAAAAAAGAAGCATCAAAAAAGAAAAAAAAATCGCTTTAAAATTTGCTGTTTTAAAAAAATAACATTATGAGATCTATGACAGTATAGTATGGGGCTGAACCACATTAAATGAACATGTAGAAGGAAAATGCTACATAGGGGATACATAACTCAAATTGATGATGAGAAAGATCTATCCATCGCCTCGCTTGCCGTCTCCCGCCATTGATGCTGAGCCACCAGGAAGCTTCCCGGTGACCAGAGGTGAAGAGACTTTAGTTCTGGAGAGGAGGCAGGGCCACATCACCCAGCGAGTCTTGCCCCATGGGAGCCGTGCCACGGTGAGTCTCGGGATACCGTGGTTGGATGCATCTTGAGCCACCATGCGCGAGCACCGCCGTGAGGAAGCGGGCTCAGTTACAACCTGCAGCCTTCTCCTCTCTGGGGCCTCTGAACCTGGTGGGAAACACAGGTCTGAAACGAGAGGCTAGTTCCATTTGCTCTGGAGGGGACAAGGAGCGTGACATCACCCAAGATGTCCAAGATGTGGGACACCTTGAGATTGGGCTTCTCACCTGGTGTAGTAGATCCAGGTGAGGCCGTAGGTGAGGAGGAAGCCAGCCCCCATGAGGGCCCCTCTGAGCAGGGTGAGGACCAGGGGCCAGGTGTTCCGCTGCTCCTCAGAGATCTGGGGGCAGGAACAGGAGATTCCTGGGGGGGTGGGGGGAGGAGGGTCAGTGTCCTTAAGTCCACACCTTAGTCCTGTCCCCAGCCCACCTCAGCCTGCTGTCCTGCATACACTCACCCTGCACGATTAGGTTCAGGGAGACGTGGTTGGAGCCCCCCCTCAGGTGCTGAGCTCGGCAGGTGAATTCTCCTCCATCCCCCAAGACCAGCTGGGAGAGCACTAGGACCCTGGGATCCGACGGCCAGGAGGGCATCAGGGTCAGGCTTCCCCGGGTCCAGCTCAGCCTGGTGGGGGAGCGGCTGTCAGTGTCACAGACCAGGCGCAGCGACTGGCCCTCCTCAGCTCGCAGAGAGGTGGCATTGCCCAGGGCCTCTGGGACTAGGGGACAGAGAGAGTCAGAAGGGCAGGGCTGAGAGCCCCTTCTCTCCCTCTGTCCTTCCACAAACACAGGAGGTGGAAAAGAGTGTCTCCGATGAGTGTTCCGAGCTAAGGCAAGTGAGCGTGAAGACCCAGCAGGGGAGGGGGGAGGAGAGGCACCCCGTGATCCCAGGACAGGGGGATGGACCTCTGAGCGAGAGCTGGCCACGTCCAGACCTGGCAGAGAACATCCCACGACGTGGCCTTTTGTGTGATGCCCAGGAGGGGCGTGGCCTCTGCAGGGAAAGGCTGGGAGGCTCACACACAGGTGATGCTCTCAGCCTTTGCTCTGAGGCCACAGGGAGCCAGGGGTGCGTTCTGAGCAAGGGAGGAACAAAGTCCCGTCTGGGGCATGCAGAGACGCATTTGGGCAGGAATTGTAGCGGGCCGGACAGGGAGGGGAGCGGAGACCGGACGAGGCAGGCTGGACCAGGGCGCAGGTGGTCTCACTGTGTCCAGGTAAGAGAGAGCGGAGGCCCGAGGTGGGGCCGCTGCCGCGGGGATGGAGGATGGAGCCACCGTGACATTTTCAGGAAGTTGAGTTTGCAAAACTCATTGAGTCATGGGGAGTGTTGGGTGAGGCTCAGAAATGTCTAAAGTGACTTCCAGGATACTGACTCAGGTCGTTCAGGAGGGAAGGGCCTCCCACCAGCGGCAGGGGAGTGCGTTCAGGACGATCTGGTCAGGACAGAGATCTGTGAGGGTCTTCAGGGCAGACGCTGGACTGGAAGGAAGCACCAGGGGACAGGCTTACCCACGGGGTCGTGCAGGAAGCAGCCACAGGCCCAGAGCCCGGCAACAGGACGTTGATTTTAAGGCTCCTTGTGGGACAGTGTGAAGTCATGGTCACAGGAGAGGCGAAGAATCAGGAAAAGGGAAGGATGGGGGTGAGGGGAGAGGTCAGGAGAGAGGAGGCAGCCGTGGTGACAGCAAACGGCAGACCAGGACTCGTGGTGACTCTAGAGAGCCCACCCAGGGGACAGGGGAGGGGACCAGAGAGGGGACAGGGAGCCGCGGGGCTTCATTCCGTCAGACCTTCACAACGTCCCTTATTTGGCCTCTGAGACCTGAGTTGTGCCCCGATCTCTCCCACCTGTGCTATTTCCCCTGAAGACGTGGATGGTCAGGGTCTCTGCAGCATCTGGAATGGCAGCAAATAACTGGTCACCTGCTGTATGGTGAGGCGGTCACGAGCGACAGGGTGGGGCCCGGGTATTCTCTCCATTTGAACCTCGGCCTCCAAGAATACTCCCCAAGTATCCCACCCAAGCCCTGCCCCCCCCAGCACCTACTGCCCCCAGGGACCCTGGCGTCCTGGCCTGGCACTCACTGGACACACTGAGCCGGATGGTCCTCTCTGTGCTCACATTAGCTCCAGGGAAGGTCACTCGACAGGTGAGGTTGGTGCCATGGTCCTGGGGCCTTGGGACGAGGGTGAGCACCGAGAAGTGTGTCCTGGGGCCCAGGGAGGTGAGGGCGTCCCCGATCCAGGAGAAGGTGGGGACCGTCCCCCTCTGACAGGCCCAGGGCACGCTACAGGTAATGGTCCTGGGCTGGCCAGGTTCTAGGGGCCCCTGGATGTGGATGTCCGGTGTCCGTGTCAGAGCTGACGGGGAGACAGAGAGGCTCTGAGTGTTCCCCAGAAGCAGCCTCTACCTCGGGCCAGCCGTTTCCTCCCCAGCCAGGATGGAGATCAGGGGGTCCCCTCCCAGGCCTGCCCTGGGGGCCCTCAGGACCCATGCATGTCCCCTCCTGGAGCCCACTCCTTACCCGTCACATGCAGGGAGAGCTGGTTCTGTGTGTAAGTGTATCTCACATAAGGCCCTCTCTCCACCCTAAAGACGTATGTCCCCGAGTCACTCCTCCGTGCATCTCTGATGTCCAGGGAGCAGTCGTAGTCCCGGGGGTTTCCAAGGAGGTAGAATCGGCCCTGGGTCTCCTGCCGCACTTTACGTCTGGGGTTGTTTGTGGCCACTGGAGCATCCCGTAAGATCAGGGCCCCTTCCCGGAACCAGTAGCCGTGCACAGGGGAAGAGTCATTCCCACCATGGGGATAGAGGAAGGTGCAGGGCACGGAGACGCACAGGCCTTCCTCCACCACCTGCGGGCCCTGCACCTGCAGCCAGAATGTCTCCTGAGCCTGGGAGCCTGCTGGGAATCGGGGGTCAGTGGCAGCCCCCGCCCGCCCGGCCCTCTCCCCTCGGCTCACTCACCAGCCCACAGCAGGGACAGCAGCAGCAGTGGCAGCATCTTAGAGACAGAGGGTGTCCTGGCTTCCTGTGGGTGAAGGAGAAGGGGAGGCAGAGGGAGGGGGGCCAAGGAGGACCCACGGGAAGCCGGGGAGGAGCATGAAGCTGCATGATTTCGCAAAGAGGAACAACAGCTGAGGAGCTCCCTCCCTCTCTGCAGAGTCAGTGACACCCCCCCCCACCCCCGCACTCCTGCCTGGAGAGTTGGGATGATGTTGGTTATTTTTTTCATGTGCTCCTTGGGGGTTTGTGTATCTTCTTTGCTGAAGTCTCTCCCAGGGAGGAGAGACCAGGAGCAGAACCCCGTGTCCTGTCCACCCCCCCATCTTCACTCTTCCCTCCAACCCCAGAGCCTGGACCAGGACCTCTGAGGGCATGTGAGGCGTGGGACACAGCGAGTCTCCTAAGATCTTCGACTGAGCAGTGTTGTCTACACCTGGGAACTAGTCAACTCCTGTCTACACCTGGAAGGTCACAGCCTCATCTACGAGGTGGAGGATTCTTTAGGTCTGTGATGGTCCAGGGCAGAAGAAAAGAAGGGATCCTGGGTGAAGTGAAGTCTCATTCATTCATTCCCCAAATGCTTAGTGAACATCTGTGCCAGGGGGGCCTCACCAGGTTCATCCGTGAGAGGGTCTCCATCCAAGTTGCCACCTCCTTCCTGGTGCTTTCCCCGTGGGGTTTCGAGCTGCAGGCACCTGTGAGATGCTGTGTGTCCTCTTGGGTCTACTGGGTATTTTCTAAAAATCCAAGTACGGGAATGGTTTTGACATGTGGTAAACAAGAGCAACGCTTTTTGAGTTGCAGAACTTGAACTATACCTGTTCAAGAACCACTCCCCGTTCCCCCTCCCCCCAGCCCCGGAAGCCACTGTTGTGCTTCCTACCTCCGGGAATTTGACGATTTAGAGACCACGCATAAGTGGAATCATACAGTGTCTTTTGGGGGATGGGCTCATTTTTTTTTAACTTTTTAAAAATGTTTATTTATTTTTGAGAGAGAGAGAGAGACAGAGTGTGAGTGGGAAAGAGCAGAGAGAGAGGAAGACACAGAATCTGAAGCAGGCTCCAGGCTCTGAGCTGTCAGCACAGAGCCCAATGCGGGGCTCAAACTCACGAACTGTGAAATCATGACCTGAGCTGAAGTCGGATGCTTAACCTACTGAGCCACCCAGGTGTCCCAGTGACCAGCTCATTTTTAACTTACCATAACACCCTCAAGGGTCATCCGTGTGGCAGCATGAGTCAGAATTTCTGCCCTTTTGAAGGCTGAATAATATTCCGTGGTGGGTTAGGCCACATTTTGTTTATTTGTTCAGCTGTTGAGGGACACTTGGGTTGCTTTTGACCTTCTGGCTATCCTAAATAATGCTGCTATGAACACGGTGTGTAAATATCTCTTGGCCTCTGTTCTAGATTATGCATATGCACCCAGAGGTAGAGCCACTGGTCCATATAGTAATTCTAATACTAATTACACACACACACACACACACACACACACACACACACACACACACCCCACAGGGGAGGGGCAGATAGAGAAGGAGAGAGAGAGAGGATTTCAAGCAGGCTCTGCACTGTCAGCATGGAGTCTGATGCAGGGCTGAATCTCACAAGGGCAAGATCATGACCTGAGTGGCTCACTCAGCTGACTGAGTGAGCCACTCAGGTGCCCCTGTGTTTATCCCTTGAAGGAAAGTCCAAGGGGTTTTCCACAAAGCTGCACCATTTTTTATTCCTGCAAGCAACGTGTATGGTTTCCCATGTGTCCACATCTTCGCCAACACCAGTTGCCTTCTTTCTTGTTTTTTTAAGTAGAACATGTGTCCTAATGGATGTGAAGTAGTGCTTCATTGCAGTGTAGACTTGCATCTTGCTAGTGACTAATGATGTTGGTTATTTTTTTCATGTGCTCTTTGGGAGTTTGTGTATCTTCTCTGCTGAAGTGTCTATTCAAGTCCTTTGAATTTTTTTAAATGTTTATTTATTTTTGAGAGAGAGAGACAGAGTGTGAGCGGGGAAGGGGCAGAGAGAGGGAGACACAGAATCTGAAGCAGGCTCCAGGCTCTGAGCTGTCGGCACAGAGTCCAATGTGGGGCTTGAACTGGGGACCAGAGTTGGACACTCAACTGACTGAGCCACCCAGGTGCCCATATTCAAGTCCTTTGGATGACAGAGAATTTTGAAGTTGTGTTCATGGTTGTATCTTCGCACTTATGACAATGCTGGCACATAGTAGGTGTTCAATGATAGTTCAACGAGTCTATGAGTGGGGGGCCTGGGTGGCGCAACTGGTTAAGCATCCGACTCTTGATCTTGGTTCAGGTCATGATCTCACAGTTGGTGAGTTAGAGCCTCACATCGGGTTCTGCGTTGATGGTGAGGAACCTGCTTGGGATTCTGTCTCTCCTTCTCTCTGCCCCTCCCCTACCTGTGCTCTCTCCCCCTCTCTCTCTCAAAATAAATAAATAAACTTAAAAAAAACCAAATATTAAAAAAAAAGAACTCTATGAGTAAATGATTGAATATCGCTCTTCCACTCAAAACCACACAACCACAACCGCAAATACACACACAGGTGTGCATGCATACACATGCATGCATGCACTCGTACACACACACACACACACACACACACACACACACACAGAGTGAAGGGCATTTAAGACTGATCCTGAAGGTAATTAGGACTTGGAGATGCAGGAATGGGGAGGGAATGGCATTTCAGAAGGAACAGCATAGGCAAAGTTTCAGAGTCACAAAAGCCTTAACCCGGTTGTGTGTGGAGACATTACAAGATGCAGGGAGAGGTAGGGATATGGGTGGAGAGTTCAGTGGGAAACAGACCACATCAGGTCTTCAAATCAAGCCTGTTTGCACCTCAGTTTGGACTGTGGAGAGGAGGCAACGCTTCATACTGTGGAGGAAGTGGATGATAATGGTGTCCCGAGACTCAGTGTGTTGAGGAGAGAGGAGTGGCAAGAGACAGGTGCGTTAGAGGCCTGGGGAAGAGAGGAGGCCACAGGAACGAGCAGGGTCAGGATGGGGAGGAGACGGGCATTAGGATGAGCTGAGGAGGAAGGATGGACGAGACTGAGCGATGTATTTGACCTGGCTTCGGGGAGGGAGGTCATAGCGGAGAGCCACATCCGATTCTGGCCTTAGAGACGGGGCCATGTCAGCCATGTGAGGGAATCCCAGCAGAGATGAAGGCTCATGAGGAATGTGGCAGCTCAGCTTTGGCCGTGCTGAGTGGAGCAATCCTGGGCCATCCTGGAGGAGGCGATGGTGGGATGTTGGGTGATGAGCTGCCCACATCGCTCACCTGAGGGATCAATGGGGGGTGATGTTTGCCTCCTGCACACCCCCTGCAGGCCTGGCTGTCCCCTTCCTGAGGAATCTCTGAGTGAAGACACCAGGTTCTTTCAGTCTGGTCGTGGGAACGCAGGATGAACTGATTCACCCCTGCTCCCAGTTAAAGGGCTGGAGGGCGGACTGAGGTGGGAGAGCGCAGGTCTGGCCCCGCGGATGGCCGCGAGCACAGCAGGCACAGCCCGTCCTGGACACTCGGTGGGATCCTCACACCTGGTCGGCCTCCCGCCTGCTCTGCCCTCTGACCTGTTCCATCCCTCCTGCCCTGGCTCTGGGCCTCAGCCGCATGGCCCCACCCTCCCCATGCCCCCCGCCCCCACCGGGGCAGGGCTCGCATGAGGCAGAGGAGGATGGATTCATGGATTCGCGAGCTTGACTGCGACCCTGTGTCCTCTGCCCCCGGCTGGTGCCTGGACATCGGTCCCCCAGGCCCTTCTGCGTCACTGGATGTGGCACCCCGTGCCCAAGCCCCACCCCGCTCTACGCCCCGGCCTTCCAGCAGCCTGACAGAGGGCTCCTGGGCGGCCCGTGCAGGGATCAGTGAGCCAAATGGCATTGGGGGGTAGGGTCCACTGTGCTGTCCCTGGACACTCACTCCTCAGAGAGAGACTTGAGGAGACGAGCTGGGAGCCCACCACGTTCCAAGCTCAGCAGGCGGATTCCCCTTCACCTCCCTCCTGTGCCCAAGGCAGCTCCAGCACCCTGGGTTCGAGGGGTTTGAGGAGCACAGGGTCGACTCCGCCCTGGGCCCAGCTCAGCCTGGCTGGGGGTGCTGTTGACACAGATCAGGTGCAGGGACAGGTCCTCAAGGACTGAAAGAGAGGAGCCATTCTCCAAGGGGTGTGGGTGGTGGAAAAAGAGACAGAGGGTCAGAGAGACAAAGAAATTGAGAAAAAGCAAAAGGATGCAAGTGGACTCCAGCCGAGAGGGGCAGACTTGGACACGCAGACATGGACTGAGAGAGACTGAGACTCTGGGAGATGGATCCAGGGAGAGGAACAGAGCATAAGCCCCGAGGCTGCTCAGGCTCCGTCTTTCTCCGCGCTCAGTGACGCAGATTTATCTCTGCCCTGATGGACCCTGGCTGGCTGGATTCAGGCCCTAGGAAGCACAGACCGAGGTCTTAGGCCTTCAGGACACCCGTGCATGTGGTCAGCCCTGCCCTAAATTCCATATTCTTCATTCAGAACCCACACAGACCCAGAAAACTCCGTCTTTTATTCGTATTTCCACTAGACACCTGTTTACTGACTTAACAAGGCATCTCCAAGGGGACTTACCCTTAAAAAAATTTTTTTTTACATTTACTTATTGTTGAGAGACAGAGACAGACAGAGCACAGCGGGGTGGGGAGAGGGGCAGAGAGAGAGAGAGGGAGTCACAGAATCCGAAGCAGACTCCAGGCTCTGAGCTGTCAGCACAGAGCCCAACACGGGGCTCGAACTCATAAACTATGAGATCATGACCTGAGCCAAAGTCGGACGCTTAGCCGACTGAACCACCCAGGCGCCCCAAGGGGGCTTACTCTTAAAACTCGTGGTCTGGTGGGGGAACAGGGACCTGGGAACAGGAATTCCCAGCATCACCTGATTCAGGTTGAGGTGGTGGAGACACTGGGCTGGGCAGGCCTTGGAGCTGGCAATGTAAACGAGAGTGGTAAATACAGGAGGGCCTCCTGGAGGAGGTGGCTTCTGAAGTCAAGTGTGAAGGGCAAGCAGGGGCAGCGAAATGATGACAGGGCTGGGGAAGAGCACAGCAAGAGGGAGGAACAGAGAGTGCAGAGATGACCAAGGACTGAACGTGTCCAAAGAAAATCTAAGAGGACTTGCAGAATCAGCACTAAGGAGTGTGGGGTAGAGGAGGGTCTTCAGAGAGGACCTCACGGGAGAAAAGGTGGGCAGTTTGTTTTTACAGACTCAAAGTGTGTGGGCGGGGGGCACCCGGGCGGCTCAGCTGGTTAAGCCGCCGACTTGGGCTCAGGCCATGATCTCGAAGTTCGTGCGTTCAAGCCCCACATCAGGCTCTGCGCTGACAATGAGGAGCCTGCTTGGAATTCTCTCTCACCCTCTCTCTCTGCTGCTCCCCCTTCATTCTATCTCTCAAAATAAATAAATAAACTTAAAAAAATAAAAATAAACTCAAAGTGGGAAAAGCAGAGCCGTAAGAGAAAAGCTTGATCAGTGTTGACTATAGATGTGGACAGATCCCTCGGCACTGAAAACTGACCGGCTGCCAACGGAAACCTTAGTGGCATACCGAGTTAAGTTGCTGCAACTCCTATGACAGAGAAGCAGCTAATTTTTCTGACTTGAACAACACTTCCAAGAATGAATTATAACAGTCAAGTTACCCAGAAGAAGACTGAGCAAAGAGTATGAGCAGACAGTTGCCAAAAAAACAAAAAACAAAAAACAAAAAACCCACAACAACAACAACACAAATGACTCTTCATTACAGAAAATCATGTGCAACATCATTTATTTATTTGTTTGTTTATTTATTTATTTTAATTTTTGAGAGAGAGAGAGAGAGCCAGCGTGAGCCAGGGAGGGTCAGAGAGAGAGGGAGACACAGAATCTGAAACAGGCTCCAGGCTCTGAGCTGTCAGCACAGAGCCCGACGCAGGGCTCGAACCCACCAACCTTGAGATCATGACCTGCGCCGAAATCGGACGCTTAACGACTGAGCCACCCAGGCAACCCCATTTCTTTTTTTTTTTTCTGTAAGTTTATTGGGTTTTGTTTTGTTTTGTTTTTAAATGTTTTATTATTTCTAGAGAGAGAGAGAGACAGCGTGAGCAGGGAGAGTCAGAGAGAGAGGGAGTCACAGACTGAAACAGGCTCCAGGCTCTGAGCTGGCAGTCAGCACAGAGCCCGATGCGGGGCCCGAACCCACGAACCGCGAGATCATGACCTAAGCGAAAGTCGGACGCTTAACCGACTAAGCCACCCGGTGCCCCTGTTTTGTTTTGTTTTTTGAGAAAGATAGAGAGCAAGCAGGGGAGAGGCAGAGAGAGGCGGAGACAGGCTCCCAAGCAGGCTCCCAGCTGTCAGCACAGAGCCTGATGAGGGGCTTGAACTCACAAACTGTGAAATCATGACCTTAGCCAAAATCGAGTCAGAGGCTTAACCGACGAAGCCACCCAGGGACCCTGAAAGTTGGTACCTTTTGACCTCCTTCACCTATTTTGTCCCCCATCCTCCGTAACCATCAATCTGTTCTCTGTATATGCTTTTGCTGACAGAGCAGAGCCTATTTAGAATTCTCTCTCCCTCTCTGTCTGCCCTCCCCCACAGTAAATAAATAAACATTAAAATAAAGTACAAACTGGGGCGCCTGGGTGGCTCAGTTGGTTAAGTGTCCAACTGTGGCTCAGGTCATGGTCTCACTGTTCATGGGTTCGAGCCCCACGTTGGGCTCTGTGCTGACAGCTCGGAGCCTGGAGCCTTCTTCGGATTCTGTGTTTCCCTCTCTCTGCCCCTCCCTTGCTCACGCTGTCTCTCTCTCTCTCTCTCTCTCTCAAAAATAAAATAAACATTAAACATTTTCTTTAAAAAAATAAAAAATTTCTTAAAAAGGTACAAACTTCCAGTTATAAAATAAATAAATCCTGGGGATGTAATGTACAACAAGGTGACTATAGCAAACAATACTGTGTTGCATATTAGAAAGTTGTGGAGATCTTGAAGCCTTCAAAACAAGAAAAAGAACTTGTAACTATGTATGATGATGTTCACAGATTTATGGTGGTGATCATTTTGCAACATATACAAATATCCAATCATTACAGTTACACATCTGAAACTAATAAGCTGCTATATGTCAATTATACCTCAATAACAAAAAAATCAAACACACGACCCAGCTACTTAGCTTTTAGGAATTTATCCCAAAGGCATAGACACACACATCAGAAAGTATGTAAGAGGTTATTGACTGCAACAGTTCAGTTAATACAATAAAACGAATGCCACGATTTTCTGTTAGTGGAAGATGCACACAGAAGCAGAATCCATCCATGGGAAGGGATCCACACAGTCACAGAGAAGAGCCATGGCGGTCTGTACTATTGATTGCAAAGGACCCCTTAGATCCTTTAGGCCAACACACCGAGGCTCTGAGCAGCCTATGGACACCAGTCACTTCCCAGGAGGGAACTGAGCCTCTGAGGGCGTATTTGCAGTGCATTACGAGTACCTGTCCATGGGAATATACCACCTGTTCAAAAGTACTCAAACAAACAGTCGTCAAGGAAAATAAAAGCTGTCAGGAGTCAGGAGGTGCGTGACAAGGGGCAGGTCTGCTGGGAGCATGTCATCTTGCGGGAAGATGCAGGGGAAGGGCAGAGAGAGGGAGAAAGAGAAAATCCCACTGCACTGTCAGCACAGAGCCCAGTGCAGGGCTTGAACTCGTGAATCATGAGATCATGACCTGTGCTGAAGTCTGACGCTTAACCAACTGAGCCACCCTGGCACCCCTACATTTTAATTTTTTAAACTAATTAATTTTTTTTTGATTTGAGAGAAAGAGAGGACTCACAAGTGGGGGGAGAGGGACAGAGGGAGAGAATCTTTTTTTTAAAGTTTATTTTATTTTGAGAGCATCAGAGCATGAGCAGGGGAGGGGCAGAGAGAGAGAGAAAAAGAATCCCAAGCAAGCTCCCGTGCAGAGCCTGACGTGGGGCTCGAACTGATGAAACTGTGATATCATGACCTGAGCTGAAAAAAGAGTTGGATGCTCAACCGACTGAGCCACCCAGGCGCCCCTGAATCCTTATGTTTTAGTTGTGTTTCTTTTAAATATGGAGAGGCAGGGACGCCTGGGTGGCTCAGTCAGTTAGGCGTCGACTTTGGCTCAGGTCATGATTTTGCGGTTTGTGGGTTTGAGTCCCGAGTCGGGCTCTGTGCTGAACAGCTTGGAGCCTGCTTCCGATTCTGTGTCTCCCCCTCTCTCTCTGTCCCTCCCCTGTTCATTCTGTCTCTATCTCTCAAAAATAAACATTTAAAAATTTTTTGATATGAAGAAGCAGTCTTTCATTAACTTATGTTGTCCTTCATTCTCCAAAACACAGAGGGAGAAATCCTACCTACTCTCTTCCGAGAGGAGATAGTGGGGTGGATTTGACAGGCAGGGCCACAGTACTTACTGTCCAGTGGAAAGCTACCCCAGGACACTAGGAAAATAGGAGGAATTGGCAGAAGGGATATATGACCAGGACTCTCAAGGTGATTATAGGAGTAAGGTCGTTAAAGGGACAATCTCAGATAAAATAAGGTCACTAGGGTGGGCCCAAATCCAGTATATCTGGTTCCTTATAAGGAGAAGAAATTGAGGGGCGCCTGGGTGGCTCAGTTGGTTTAGCCTCCGACTTCAGCCCAGGTCATGATCTCACAGTTCACGAGTTCGAGCCCTGCATTGGGCTCTTTGCTATCAGCTGAGCCTGCTTCGGATCCTTTGTCCCTCTCTTTCTGCCCCTCCCCTGCTTGCAGTCTCTCTCTTAAACATAAACATTAACAAATTCAAAACAAATAAAAAGAAGAAGAAGAAATTGAGACACAGACACACAGAGGGAAGACCAGGTGAGTTCACAGGGGGAAGACGGCTATCTACAAGCCAAGCGGAGAGGCCTGCCGACGTGTTGATCTCAGACTTCCAGGCTCCAGAGCTATGAGGAAAACAATTCCTCACTTGTGTATCTTGATCTCCGAGTACTCAGTGTTGATGTCTTCTTGTTTCTGAGGCTTCAGCTTGGGAAACCGGAGGGAAGCATAGTGGAGCTCCTGTTCTTCTCTTAAAATGGGGCTCGTTCCAGCAGGGATTGCGGGGTCTGCAGGGGTGTCTGTCCACACCCGGTGCTGATGCGCCTGAGTGGAAGGAAGAGGAGGAATTTGGAGCCGGTCAAATTTTGGGGTCTGGGGGAAAGTAGCCAAAGGCCAGAAGGGCATTGGCCCTGACAGAACACTTATCATTCACCCATTCACTTATTTTTGAATGTTTAATAATTAAGATTGGCCAACCCCTAGTCAGTGTTTACATTAACTGCATTACTTTTTTTTTTAATTTTTAATGTATTTATTTTTGAGAGAATGAGAGCAGGGCAGGGGAAGAGAGAGAAGGGGACAGAGTGGGCTCCACACCGACAGCAGAGAGCCCAGTGAGGGGCTTGAACCCATGAACTGTGAGAACACAACCTGAATCAAAGTCAAAGTCGGGTGCTTAACCAACTGGGCCACCCAGGTGCCCTTACATTTTTTTAAAATAGTTTATGGTCAAGTTGGTTTCCATACAACACCCAGTGCTCATCCCCATAAGTGCCCTCCTCCATGTCCATCTCCCCCCTCCCCCCAACCCCATCGGTCCTCAGTTTGTTCTCAGCATTCAAGAGTCTCTCATGGTTTGCCTCCCTCCCTCTCCCAGGTGCCCCTACATTTTTTTTAAAAAGGCTGGGAGAAGATATTATTATCATATTCATCACACAAATAGTAAAACCAAGGCTAAGAGAGATTATATATACACCTTGTCCTAAAGACACCTATCTATCTAAATGCACCATTGATGCTCCTGGGGGGGCTCAGTAGCTTAAGCATCAGATCTTGATTTCAGCTCAGGTCATGATCTCAGGCTTGTGAGACTGAGCCCAGTGGTGACGGGCTCTGCACTGAGCAGAGAGCCTGCTTAAGATTCTTTCTCTCCCTCTCTCGCTGCCCCGCCCCTGCTCAAGCTCTCAAAATAAAATAAAATAAAATGACCACTGAGCCAGGACTCAATCTCTCTTGTGATAATACCATCCTTTCTCCAGCCAGCGTGTGAGGTCCTGTGTGTGGGGTGACAAAGAAAGCAGATAAAGTTCCTGATACCAACAGCTTATGGTTTTCTAGGAGAGGCAGTTACTAAACGAATAGGAAACTAGTACGTTCCAAGTTCTACCTCTGGGATAGGAGATTTTTTGTTTGTTTGTTTTATTTATTTCTGAGAGAGGGAGAGAGAGAGAGAGAGAGAGCATGAGCAGGGGAGGGTCAGAGAGAGAGGGAGACACAGAATCTGAAACAGGCTCCAGGCTCTGAGCTGTCAGCACAGACCCTGACGCGGGGCTCGAACCCACAAACCGCGAGATCATGACCTGAGCCGAAGTCGGGTGCTTAACCGACTGAGCCACCCAGGCGCCCCTGGGATAGGAGATATTTTGAAATATGAAGCACAGCAGGAGTGGCAAATCGCATTTCTGGAAAGCTCTAGAAGACGAGCGGAGGTCAGGTCCAGCAGTCAAGGTGGCAACCAGACACCTTTGCCCACACCTGCTCCCTGCCTGCAACACCCTCAGGTGACAGCAGCAGGAAACAAGCCCCCACAGGGGCACCTGGGTTACTCAGTCGGTTGGGCGTCCAGCTCCTGGTTTCGGCTCAGGTCATGATCTCAAAGTTTGTGAGTTCGAGCCCTGCTTCGGGCTCCACTGACAGTGCAGAGCCTGCTTGGGATTCTCTCTCTCCTTCTCTCTGCCCCTCCCCCACTTGCATGCTCTTTCTCTGTCTCTCTCTCTCTCTCAAAAATAAATAAATAAGCTTAAATAATAAAAAAAAAAGAAAAGAAATCCTCATACAGTTGCTCAGAGAGACAAAGAGAAGGAATTCTCAGATTAAGAGGTACCGGTTGGGCATCTCTCTGGGCTCTGAGGACACAACAGGGAATAAAACAACAGCCACAAAACAAACCACTCCCAAGACTTACTTGCTGGAGGAGGTAACGATTCTGGCTGTAGTAATGAATGCTGTGCTTACCCTATGCCAGCTACTGTTCTAGACCCTTCTCATAACTACTGTCTGTACTCTTAGTATTCTCATGTCACAGAGGTCATGTCAACAGAGGTCAAAGAGGGTGCACCACCTGCCTGGGGTCACTCAGCTGGTCAGGAGGGAAAGATGAGATTTGAACGCAGGAGTATAGCTCCAGAGTCCATGCTTTGAACCCCCGTACTGCAGTGATTGCAAGAGACAGTCACGTAAAAATACATATATCAAGAATTTGAAGGTAAAGAAATGGAAGATATATGTGTGATTTCCGACAAGATGGGGATGAAGGTCACGTTAAGGGTTCCGTTCCCCAAGAGCCACCAAGGAGAAATAAGACAGGGAATTACATAAACTTTTAAAATGATTTCCTATGAGGGCGCCTGGGGGCCTCAGTCAGTCAAGCGCCCCACTCTTGGTGTCGGTGCAGGTCAGGGTCTCACGGTTTGTGAGATCGAGCCCCACTTCGGACTCTGTGCTGACTGCCTGGAGCCTGCTTGGGATTCTCCCACTCCGTCTCTCACTCTGTCCCCCACCCCCGCTCATGCTCTCTTTCCCTTTCGAAATAAATAAACTTAAAAAAAGATTTTGTGCGTTCTTGTTCTACCAGCTACTGAGAGAAGAGGTGGAAATAATCAACTATAACTGTCAGTATGTCTATTTCTCCTTGCTGTTCTGTCAGTTTCCAAGTACATTTATTTTTTTTTAATTTTTTTAATGCTTCATTTATTTCTAGGAGAGAGAGAGACAGCGTGAGCAGGGGAGGGTCAGAGAGAGAGAGAGAGTCACAGACTCCGAAACAGGCTCCAGGCTCCGAGCTGGCAGTCAGCACAGAGCCTGACGTGGGGCTCGAACCCACGAACTGCGAGATCATGACCTAAGCGAAAGTCGGACGCTCAACTGACTAAGCCACCCAGGCGCCCCTCCAAGTACATTTATTTTGATGAATGGTGCTCTGTTATCAGAGGAATACACGTTTAGGATTTTTAAAAAACATTTCTCTTTTTTTAAAAAAAAATTATATGTCTTTTTTTAATTTTCAGAGACAGAGACAGAGAGCTAGTGGGGGAGGGGCAGAGGGAGAAGGAGACACAGAATCTGAAGCAGCTCCAGGCTCTGAGCTGTCAGCATGGAGCCTGACGTGGGGCTCGAACCCACAGACTGTGAGATCATGACCTGAGCTGGAGTCGGACGCTTAACCGAGTGAGCCACCCTGACACTCCTGTTTAGGATTTTTGTATCTTTTCATAAAGTGATAGAACCCAGATAAATAGAGTAAATACTGCATGATTCTTTTTATATAAAGTCCCAGAAGGTACAAAACTAATCCATAGTGATAAAAATTAGTGATTTCTGGAAAGGTTGAATTGACTGGGCAGGGAACAAAGGAATTTGGGGACATGATGGAAATGTTCCACGTCTTTTTTTTTTGTTAATGTTTCATTTTTTATTTTTTAAAGTTTATTTATTCATTTTGAGAGAGAGCAGGAGAGAGAGCAGGGGAGGGGCAGAGAAAGAGAGAGACAGAGAATCCCAAGCATCTGATAGCACAGAGCCCCCATGTGGGGCTTGAACTCATGAACTGTGAGATCATGCCCTGAGCCAAAACCAAGTGTCACAGGGCGCCTGAGTGGCTTAGTCGGTTAAGTGTCCGACTTCGGCTCAGATCGTAATCCCACAGTTCGTGGGTTTGAGCCCCATGTCAGGCTCTGTGCTGATAGCTAGTTCAGAGCTTGTAGCCTGCTTCAGATTCTGTATCTCTCTCTCTCTCTGACCCTCCCCTGCTCACGCTGTGTGTGTGTGTGTGTGTGTGTGTGTGTGTGTCAGAAATTTAAAAAAAAAACATTAAAAAACAAAACAAAACAAAACCAAGAGTCAGAGCCTTAACCAACTGAGCCACCCAGATGCCCCAGAAATGTTCCACATCTTGATCAAGAATATGTTACAGGGCAAATACATTTGTTATAATTCATTTTGCTGCATATTCCAATGAGTGTGTTATATTATATGTAAAGTACATATAATGAATGAGGTTGATATTTATCTACCATTGACGGTGGTAGATTTGAAAGATGCAAAATGTGAATGATGTGCAAAATGTGACTTCGGGGTGCCCCAGTCTCTACCCTAGGGCTTGAGTCCACCACTTCCCTACTCAGTGGGTCCAACCCAGACTAAGTTAGGGCCATCACTCTTCTGGGTAACCAACGCTACAAGAAAAAGGCTAATATTCCAGGGGAATATGATATTCTGGCAGAGGAGGCATAAATACCCTCCCACAAGCAACAGGATTATATCCATACTCCATCAGAAGCAGAAGTATTAGAGCAGTGGAGGCTCTGTGCTGACTGCCAGCTCAGAGCCTGGAGCCTGTTTCAGTCTGTGACTCCCTCTCTCTCTGACCCTCCCCTGCTCACGCTGTCTTTCTCTCTCTCTCTCTCCTAGAAATAAAAAAAAAATTTAAAGAAGTATTAGAGCAGTGGAATCAATAGTTTAAATAACCACGTGTGGAACTAACTCCAAGGAGTGTTGGATGTTAATAGGGAAATGCTCAAGCTCCATATCCACGAGGGTGACTTCCAAAAGGAATATGCCAGATAGGAGCTCATGGTCTGTCACTCACCCCAGAGCCTGAGTCACTGACTGGGTTCAAATCCATGCTTTGCACCGGCTGGGCTGCTCTCTTCCTGATGGTCTTCACCCTAAGGGAACAGCCCAGGTCCTATCAGCCTGGTTATTTGGGGTGTGCAGTAGACAGACCATCCCTTGCATCCCATGAAGAGCACAGAACAGGTAGGTGGGTGTGGATCCAGTCTCTAAGAGCTTCCCCTAATCCAAGAGCTGGACCAGGGGCTGGGAAGGGAAGCCAGGCTTGGCCCACTTGGTTACAGGATGCTTCACTCCACCACTCAGCCTCTTTCCCTGGCTCCTGGAATAACCAACCAGCCCACGTTCCTCTAGCTCGGCTCTCTAAGATTCCATGACATCATGTCCTTTCCACTCTGGGCCTCTCCCTCCATCCCTAGAGCCCACTCTCACCTGAAGATGAGATAAAGGCAGAGAGGAAGTAGCAAGGTCATGATGCCAGCTCCCCCGACTGCTCCCAGGACCCCACTGGCCCTGGGTTCTGGTTCACCTGCAGAAAAGTTGAGTTCTGTGTAAGCTCCAGTTTCAATACATGGCATCCTCCAACCAGCCACTTCTCTCTCTCTGTGTCCCTTTAGTACGCCTGCCACCCATCACGATATTCCATTGCCCTGTGCATCCTGGACCAGCCCCTTCCCCTGGCCTCAGGACTAAAGGTCTTAAGCCTCCAGCTGCTCCATTTGGGACCTTAGGTGCCTCCCCGCCCCAGACCCATCTCTCTGGGGCTGTTAGGGGCTGAATTGTGTCCCCTGCCAAATTCATATGCTGAAGTCCTACCCTTCTGGTACACACTCTCCACTCCCAGTATCTCACAATGTGACTTGCAACAGGTAAAGAGCCTAAGTAACATCATTTTGAGATTAAGGCCTCCATTAAGAACAACCTCGGGCTACATGTAGCCCCTGCTCCAGAAAAAGCCTCAGATTGTTCAAGGCTAAAGCCACCCTCAGACTGCTCTCAGATCAGCTAAATATTCCTGTGGTCTGAGTCAAGGCTGGGAACTGCAGACAAATTAACCAATTACTCACCACTTGCCTAAACCCTACCCTTTGAGCTCACCTCATAATTAGTCATTTTCAAAAGATACTCAAAGGTCATGATTGGGTCCCTGCCAAAAGTAACAGACACCTCACAGATACTGAATAGTCAAAACTATTACCTTGGATGCCATACAATTGTAACTAAAGCTTATGTGATGATGTCATATGTACAACGTGGGCACTGTAACTCCCCCGTCCCTGACCCCATAAAAACCCTGCTCACTATTGTTCTGGGCTTCACCTTGCTGCCGCTACGCCGGTAGGCGGGTGAGCCCCTGCTCGAGCTTGTAATAAAGACCCTTTTGTACTTGCATCGGTGTCGGCTCCTTGGTGGTCTCTGGGGACTCGCGAATTGGGCACAACACGGGGTCTTTACAAAGGTAATCAAGTTAAATGGGATCACTAGGGTGGGCCCTCACCCAGTATGACTGGTGTCCTCGTAAAATGGGGATGTTAGGACACAGACACACACCAGAGAGAATGCCAGACAGAGAAGGGGTGATGCTTGTATAAGCTGAGGAGCACCAAAGATTTCCAGAAAACACCAGAAGCCAGGGGAGAGGCTGGAACAAGTTCTCACAGTCTTAGAAGGAACTGATCTGTGGACACCTTGACCCTGTCCAGAACTGGGAGACAGTAAATCTCCATTGTTTAAGCTGCCCAGTTTGAGGGACTTTGTCGTAGCATCCCTAGCAAGGGATGCAGTGCAAGGACCAAGCTCCTCTTCCTCCAGGCATCACCCTCCCACCCCAGCCCCCACCCCTGCTCCCCAACACACACACACACAGCCTTCCAGACCTGGCCTCAACACCAGGACGATGGCCCTCTGGGCCCCGTGCTCATTCCGGGCCTCGCAGCTGAGTCTGAGGTCGGAGCCCAGAGGCCCAGTGAGGTTTAAGGAGCTGTTGGCCCAGGGCCCCGCGGAGCTGGAGGTGATGGTCAAGGAGGCGGTCAAAGAGGCATTGCTGGGGTTCCCCTCCAGCAGCCCCTCCCCCAGCCACCAGCGCAGGGTGGGGGCCGGCCGGGCTCGGGAGGAGCAGGTGCAGTGCAGGCCCTCGCCCTCCCGGGAGCAGGAGGGGCTGAGCAGCTGCGGCGGGTCTGCGGGGTGGGGGGGGGGGAAGGGTCAGGAGTCAGAGGCGCCTCTGCTCCCCAGGCCCCGGGCGCCCCGCCCCCGGGGGTCCCCGCACTCACAGACCACAGAGAGATGCAGGGAGACGTGCTGGGAGCCCAGGGAGTTCTGGGCTTGGCAGGTGAAGACTCCTTCATGCTCAGCCCCGACCTGAGGCAGCTCCAGAGTGTGAGTCGTGTGTACAGGGGTGGCATTCAGGGCGGCGGACCCCCGGAACCAGCTCAGCTCGGCAGGGGGGTTGCCCGCAGCAGCACAGAGCAGCCGCAGAGCCTGGCCCTCCCAGATGACAAGGGATGAGGTGTTTTTCAGAGTCTCCAGAGCTTCTGGGGGGAGAGATGCAGAGAGAGGAGAGAGATGAGTTGGGTGAAGCCAGTGTCTCCTCGTGTGATGTCCACACTCGCTCTGAGGAGGGGACCGGCAGCGTCCAGGCGGCAGGCCAGCAATCGCGGCCCAGATGATTTCCCCTGGAGCTGCCCCCACCGTCCAGGAGGTGAAGGCCCAAGGGCTGAGACGGGAGATATATACGGTGCCCAACCATTAACTTCAGGGGGTCGAGGTTTGTGGAGGCCTCTCGTCCTCCCCACCCCCACCCCCGCTCTCCCCTGTGTCTGAACTCAGTGTCTCATGCAGTTAGTTCCTGGCCATCAGGAGCTTGAGAGCCAAATAGGGCTGCTCTGGCAGAGCCCCGGTTCCCCCACCCCCAGCCCTGAGAAAAGAAGTTCTCTCCTACCTGTTCTGTTTCCTTGGAAGATCCGGATGGCTGTGTTCTGTGGGGCAACTGGACAGAAGAATAAAGCTGCCTTAGCATTCATGGCAATGGAGGAGTGGGTGGTGGGCCATTTCCCCAGGGCCAGGGACACAGATAAGGGGATTCCCTTCCTGCTTAGCTACCAAGACCCTGCTGTTAAGCCCTAGCCTGGCTCTGCCCTGGCCCCACCCCTCAGGCACCCAGGTGCCCCCGGCGGCACTCACAGGTAACGTTGAGCTGGACGGTCCTTTCCACCATCACACCAGCTGCAGGGAACAGCACCTGACAGGTGAGGTTGGCACCATGGTCCTGGGGCCGTGGGGTGAGGGTGAGCACCGAGGAGAGGTGGGTCCTGGGACCCAGAGAGGTGAGGGCAGCTGACATCCAGGAGAAGATGGGGGGCGTGCCCTGCTCACAGGCCCAGAGCACAGAGCAGTTCACGTTCCTAGGGTGGCCGGACTCCAAGGTCCCCAGGATAAGGATGTGAGGTGTGTGGGTCAGGGCTGGTGAGGACAGAGAAAATGTTGGGGCCACTTGGTGTTTGGTTAGCTTGCCCCAGTGTCTTGTCATGGCTGTCTCCACCCCACACCACCCCCAAGAGGAACAGAATCTTCATTTTTCCACCTCTGGTGCCCCACACCCTGGGGCCTTTCCCTGGGCCCCTCCCATACCTGTCACATTCAGAGAGAGCATATTATTTAGATAGGAGTATGTCTCCACTTGAAAGAAGTAAGTCCCGCTGTCCCCCATGTTGACATCTGTGATGTACAGGGAGCAGTTCTTGCCGTAGGGGTCCCCAAGGAGGAAGAACCGGCCCTGGGTCCTCTCATGCACCTTCTGCCCTGGTTTGTTTGTGGCCACTGGAGGATCATGGTAAACATCTGCCCCTTTCTGAAACCAAGACATGGAGGTGAGTCCAAGGATAAACCAGGGGGGAGAAAATTCGCAGTGCACGTGGACACACAAGCCCTCCTGGACTGTCACGGACTCCTGTAGGTCCAGCTCGTAGCCCAGAACCTGAGCCAGGGGCCCTGGAGAGAGAGAGAGGGAAAACCTCAGCCTGGAGCTCCGATGCTTCCCCCAAATAGGGCTCTCTCTCCCCTCAGCTCACTCACCTCCACAAACCAGCAGCAGCAGCCACAGCGGCATCCCTCCGTCATGCGCTGGGACAGCCTGCTTTCTGTGGTCCCTCTGACGGAGAAAGGAAGCCACAGGCTATGGGAAGGCAGAGGAAATTCAGACAGGAAGCCTGTGGTACAAACAAGAGGCCACAAACCCAGAAAAGAGAACTTCAGACTCACAGTCAGCTGTAATTAATCTTTGAGGCAATCTGTTCCCATTTCTGCATGTAGCAGGTGGGTCCTGAGCCTCAGAGGAGGCAAAGATCTTGCTCAACAAAAGCAGTGAAGAAGGATGGGAGCCCTCAAGGCCTGCCTCCTGGGCTCACACACAGTTGTCTGTAGCAGAGATCCGTTAACTAGACAGAGAACTGGTCCTGAAGTCAGGTGTGGCTGCTCACCACTTGGAAATAAATAATAGTCATGTAAACCAATATAACTGAAACTAATATAACACTGCATGTTAACTGTACTGGAATTAAAAGAAAAGGAATCAATACTCGAGAGGCAAGTCAGTAGTGCTTTATTCAGGAAGCTGGCAACCTGGGAAGACACCACAGGAAAAGGAAAGGAAGCTGAGCACAGGAGAAGCAGATGCCCAGGTGGTTAGTCATGGACATGGCGACATGACCCTGAACAGATTGGCTGGCATCCACAGCAACTGTTTTCAAATTTAGTCAGGCCTTCTCTTCTGGGAAAGTCTGGTCCTTCACCCCTCAAGTTCAGTAAATCTCAAAGAAAGCAAACTACTTCCCATACAGGTCAAGGGACTGAAGTCAGCAAGCAAGGAGTGCATAAGCTTGAAGCAAGTTCACCCTTCCGAGAGGTCGGAGTGTTGTTACAATCCCACTCGGCCAGCCCCCCCCCCACCCCCTTCCTGTGGAGAGTCAGAGCCTCAGGACCTTCATGGAGGTGGCCTGCTAGGGATGGGTCTCAGGCTAGTCTACATAGCGTCAGAGGCATGAAAGAGTCCTCATCTGGGGAAGTAACACATACACTCATTTCATCATTTATTCATTCATTCACTCACAAACTAACATAGAAAAAAAAAAAAAGACGGATTTGAATCAGTCCTGACCTTCAACTAGCTCAAGCAGTGGGGGGAGACAGACAAGCTTGAACTTTATCTAAAGGCAATGGGGAGCCATGGAAGGTTCTTGAGCAGGAAAGAGGCAGGGTCATAGAGTAATCAACAGGATCCCTCTTAGGCCAGTGTAGGGAAGAGCTGGAAGGGAGAGGCTAGAGGTCAAAAGGCCAGAGAGGAAACCTGTGACTTTGGGGAAGGGGAAAACCCAAGCCCACATGGAGATAGCAGCCTTGGTGATGGAAGAGTGATTTAAGACACTTTCAGGAAATGAAACTGAAAGACTGGTGTGGTGGGTGGGGGAGGGTCTACTGGGGTGACTCTAGGAGGTGCTGTGGCCAAAAGCAGGGTGATGGGCTGGGCTGGGAAGAAGGTGGTGGGAAAGGTGGCAGAGTTGGCCCCAGGGACATTCCTCATCAGGAGGAGCTGGGGGCCTTGGGCAGAGCTGTGGAAACACACACACACACACACACACACACACACACACACTTACTTTTGGAAATGGGGGTGGGGGACTGAGATGGACTGGCCAGGAAAGTAGCAGGAGAAGGTGGTTATTGGTGACCAGTGGTGAGAGTTTTGCGAGAAGGGGCAGGAGGGGGCATCAGCCAGACTTCAGAGGGGGCTTTCAAAAGAGCCACATCAGCCCTACGAGCTCTGAGACCCCACCTTTGCCCTAAGCAGCAGAAACTCCTCTCTCATCACTGCCTGCAAGCAGAGTCTTTTATCCCTACTGGTACCATTTCTTACCAGGGCCCAACAGCAAGATTCTTATCAATATTTGGACCAGAGAATGACAGCATGTTCTAGTTCAATGGTGGGAGGGGGCTCGTTTTAATCCTTTATTTGGATCCACAGAAGGATGGTGAGGGGAGACTGTCTGTGTGCTTTCTTCTCCTTCCTCAACTCAGGCCTCTGGCCCAGCATCAAGTCACACAGGCCCTCAGGGACCCAGGTGTCCTGACCAACAACAGTAGTAGACTGGAGCCAGATGGTGTCTGGAACTCAGCTAAGTGAGATACCTAAGTAGGCAATTGAAGCAACCATGAATCAAAATGAAAGTAACAACGAGGCCTTTAATCACACACTGTGAAAGGTGGTTGGGTGCTGAAGAAAAAAATATATGCTTTTAACTGCCAAGGAAAAAATTATTCACAACACTTGTTAAGAAAAGGTAAAGACTGATTCAGATTGATTCGGGGGGGGGGGCATTGTAACAGGTTTGGGAACTCCCACCATGGGGTCTGGCAGGAGGCCCCCATGAGGCCTGCCCTCCAGGGAAAGCCTTCATATCTGCCTGTGATTGGGCCCGGAAAATCACATACATGTTTTAACTATGGGTGGAACTTCTCAGATGCTTCCATCCATCACAGACCTCCTAGGAACGTCCCCAGATATGTGGTGATGGGGTCATGATCTTGGGATCCTAAGACATGAATGAGTACTCAGGGGCGGGGGGCCTTGGGGCCCAGGGAGGAAAGAATCTTTCTCTTATGCAAGCTCTTGGCAAGGTGTTATTATATTCTGAAATGACTCTGCACTACATGTTAGAAGGGTGTAGACCTGGGGTATCTAGTACAAGCTGGAAAACAGGAAAAGACTCAGATCCTGGCCACAAGCTCTACAATGGTGTTTCCTATTAGCATCAGGGCTCTATACATCTTCCTCACCCTCCAGATAAGGAGAAGATGTATTCCCATCTCTGGGGTTCTTCCCTGGGGACCCTTGGCTATTTGTCACATTCAGAGACAGTGTCATGTATTGGAAGTCATATTTCTTTCTTTATTTATTTTTTTAAAATTTTTTTAGTAATCTCTACACAGGGGAGCCTGGGTGGCTCAGTCAGTTAAGTGTCTGACTCTTGATTTTGACTCAGGTCATGATTTCACGGTTCGTGAGTTCCAACCCCCTCCTCATTGGGCTCTGCACCAACAGTGAGGATTAAAGAAGTAATCTCTACACCTAACGTAGGGCTCGAACCCACAACCCTGAGATCAAGAGTCATATGCTTCACTGACTGAGGCAGCCAGCTGCCCCCATATTTCTCTATCCTGAAGTATTTCCACTTGTTTGAATTTGGGGAAATATGATGCTCATAGACCAACTGGGAGCCCCTGGGTCCCAGAGGAGGTTCTCACTTTTTGGTTTTGATAGGGTCTATGGACAGAGAAGGATTATGACATTTCTCAGCCACCTCCAGGATCTGAAGGTGGGTGTGATGGATCAAAGCCAGTCCAGAATGGGATGGGATGCACAGACCCATCTTCACCATCACTGACAGAAGGATACAAATTAGACCTGGGGACCATGGTAGCAAGCAGAGTGTCTGACCACAGCTCCACTCAGACCGCTGTTGCCCTGACAGTTGTGGCCATCACAGCAGCAGTGGCATCTCTGGGATGCGGAGAATAGTCTAGATTCCCTTAACACTGTCTGATTATTGTCTCCCAGATTGGAGGTGGGGGCATCTGAGGGGCAGTAGGAGAGGGGGATGCTTTCTGGATCATATGTATGGTTTCTGTCCCCAACTTCTCTGTTCAACAAGGATATCCCTCTCTCCCTCAGGCCACTGCAGAGGAAGTGAAAGCTGAGCTCTTAAGTCTCTGAACCACATCAGGGGGCAGCGGGGGGTTTCCTTCCTCCCATGTCACAGAACCCTGCCTCTCAACTTCTGAAGACAAGTCCACTTCCCTCAAGAAAGATGTGGAGTTTGAATGTCTGTTTTCCGCAGATAGGTTTCTTGGAGACCCTCTTTTTTTTTTTTAATGTTTATTTTTGAGAGAGAGAGAGCTTGAATGGGATAGAAAGAGGGAGACAGAGGATCCAAAGCAGGCTCTATACTGACAGCAGAGAGTGCATTATGGGGTTCGAACCAAGAGACCACAAGATCATGACCTGAGCTGCAGTTGGATGCTTAACCGACTTAGCCACGCAGGCACCCCTCTTGGAGACCCCCTTATGAGGATGGAGGAACAGAAGACCAAGACACTCCTGGGAACAAATCCTCTCCATGTTGGACCCAACCCTGGAGACCTCAGGAAGCACTAGGTGAACTCTTGAATTCATCTGCAGGGACAGAGGCTGGGACTGAGCCTGGAGCCCTGTCTATAGCTCCAGACTTGAATATGCAGCTTGGGCTCAGGGTGAAATAGAACTTGTGACTGGGTCTTTACCTCTCCTCCCATTTCCCTTGAGCCTGCACATACAGAATCTCTCTCCTCTTCTTCTCCACACCATTCCAGGTGCCATAATTCCTCTCCTCCATGGAAGCTCACTTAGCTTCAGGTCTCCCGTGGACAGTGCTCCATCTGTGAGGTCACAGAACTCTTCCCAATCTAAGCAAGATCCCACATGTGCCTAAACACTTTGAATGTCTTCCTTGGCTTCCAAAGACAATGCCTCATTCAGCTCCTGATATTTCATTCCTTTGTTTATCTGACAGACACCGAGACATATTTTTAAATAATCTTTCCAGATTTGGAACATAGCTAGAGTCAGGAAAGGATGATGAATCTTGTTCTCAGTCCGACAGAGCTCCATTTGAGTACTGGCCAGAGACTGAGCGAGAGAAGGAGAGAGAGAGGGAGGGAGGGAGAGACAAGGAGGAGGAGAAGGAGGAGGAGGAGGAGGAAAGAGGGACACACAGAGAGAAAGAGGGAAAGAGAGAAAGGAGGCGGGAGGGAAGAGGGAGGAGGGGAGGGGGGGAAGGGAGAGGAAGAGATCAGCTTGTTGGGGAGAGTCCCTTCCTGTCCGTAAGAGGTGAAGAAGAGAATAAAGGTCTATCCCAGACAAGGAGGAATCTCTAAAGAGATTGGGGGTGGAGTTGGCCCCAAGAGGCAAGAAACCAAGGGCGTGTGAGCAGTCCCACACCGAGGGTATGATCCACTCGAAGGCCCTAATTTCCGGTGGTGCCAAGGAGTCTGGGAAGGGCAGAGGTAGAGTGGGGGAGGTACTTACCCCGTTCAAATTCATCCCCAACCCTCTCAATTCTCCCAGCACCTGCCCACCAAGGAGCGCTCTCTCCTGCCCAGAAGGAGAAAGACAGGGGGTGGCTCTCTCCGTGGTGCTGAAGAAGGATTTGGTCCCGAGTTTAGGAATATCTGGGAGGTGGGTGTGGAAGGGTCTCAGTTCAGGAAAGCTGCTGAGTCAGGAATGGGCCCACCTAGGAGTGCGAAAACCAGGGGGGAGCTGGCCCCTCCCCTCCTCCTTATTTACCCTGGAGAATGTTCAGTGGGCTCTGCCAAGCTGCTGAAATCAAAGTCTCTAGCAGCCTGTCTCTAGACTGCGTGTTCTGTTAGAAAAATAAAGCCCCCTTGGGGCTGGTGGGTAGCTCAGTCATGATCTCACAATTTGTGGGTTCGAGTCCTGCTCCTGGCTCTGTGCTGACAGCTGGGAGCCTGGTGTCTGCTTCAGATTCTGTGTCTCCCTCTCTCTCTGCCTCTCCCCCACTCATTCTCTCTCTTGGTCTCTCTGTCTCTCTCTCAAAAATAAATAAGCATTTTAAAAAAGAAAAAGAAAACCCCATTGATTAAGGTTCCTGAAAGTCCGCCTTCTTGTAACTTAGAGGAAAATGCATTTGTCATTGACATATTATGTGGAAAGTAGAGATGATTCTTCCAATTCCATCTGAAGTCAACATGACATTTTCTACTCATTTAAATCTCCAGATAACACATAACAGTGCCTGGTATGGATGGACTTTTTTCACTTTTGCTAATTCAAGATTAGAGAAGTAGTATTATATCCTTTATTTATTTTGCATTGATGTGATTATAAATAACTTTTCCCATGTATTTCTTTTTTATTAACTGTAATCCTTCTTTGTGAATTATCTACTCAAAGAATTTACACAGAGTGACCTTGAGGTTTTCCTTATTAACTTTTCTAAAGATAGGAATCTCTTTCCTATTATTTACCTTAGAGAATATTTTATTTTTAGGCTTTATTTTTAGCCTCTCTAATATATATTAGAGAATAATATATGTATAAAATGTATGTATATATTAAAAATATATAAATATATAAACATAACATATATTAAAGTTTATTTACCTTTAGTAATCTTGGGGTGCCTGGGTGGCTCAGTCGGTTAAATGTCCGACTTCAGCTCAGGTAATGATCTCACAGTTCGTGGGTTCGAGCCCTGCGTTGGGCTCTGTGCTGACAGCTAGCTCAGAGCCCGGAAACTTCTGATTCTGTGTCTCCCTCTCTCTCTGACCCTCTCCTGCTCATGCTGCCTCTCTCTTTCAGAAATAAATAAAACATTAAAAATTTTAAAAAAAAGCTTTAGTAATCTCCACACCCAACATGGGACTTGAACTCACAGCCCTGAGATCAAGAGTTGCATGCTCCTCACTGTCTTTCCCCAGTTCCTTTGCAGTGAATTCAATAAACTTCTATCTCCTTTATTCTGTCTTGGGTGGATTCTTTCACCTCCCTTGCCACTGGCTTTTACCCAAATTGGGTCAGGGACCTGCACTCCCAAAAGGACAACTTTATGAAGCAGGAAATTGAAGTACAGAGAGGTTAACTAACTGGCCCAAGTTGAACATCTGGCTTCAAACCCAGGGAGTCCAGCTTCTTAATTATTGGAACTACTGTTTGTAAATGATGTGAAAATGTTGGGGTTCGGAACTGACCGCCAAGAATTCTTGAGAAATCTTTGGTGCAAAAGAGGGTTTTTATTAAAGCATGGGAACAGGACCCAGAGGAGAAAGAGCTGCATTGGGGTTGTGAGGAGTCACTGATTATATACTTGGGAGTTGGGGGAGGTAAAGATTGGGGAAGTTTCCAAAAGGATTTTCATAAGCTAAAGAAGACGTGCAGGATCCTGGATGCCTTAGCTACTGTCAAGCTATTATTGTTTTTCCCTCTAGCAAAGCATTAACATTAAAACAGTTGGGAGTTCCTAGAGGACTATTCTACTGCCTGTCTCAAGTATCTGTCAATGGACTTCAGGTTATAAAGAAATTTAATTTTATCTACATTTCCTTCTGCCTTTGTTCCCCACATTAGTAGATGCTTACAGAACTTTGTAAATAAATGATTAGACAATGGGGAGTGAGAAAGAGAAGGAGAGAAATTACTTCTGAACACTAGGTCTGGCTTTGTCTCTCTTTTTCTGTCTCTACTGTTTTCTCATCTCAACTGCAGCACACTGGGAAATAACTCCGCTCTATCGGTCATGAAGGGCCAGCCCCCTGCGGTTGGTCTGTGTGTTTGTCAGTAACTCCTGCCAGGCTGAGGGGGACCCTTGAGAGGCAAGCCTACAGCCTACCCAGTCCTCAGAGCCTGGGGTCCCAGCTGCCTACAGGGGAGTCTTTCGATGGATGGAGAGTTGGACTGCCAGGCTCAACACCCTCTGGGATGCCATTTGCCTCTCACCATTAGTATCTCTGTTGTAGTCTGAGTTGTGGTTGGGAAGAGGAGGAAGAATACCTGGATTCTGAGCATTTATTTTCTTATTTTTTTAAGCTTTCTTTAAAATTTTTTATTTTTTAAGATTTTATTTTTAAGTAATCTCTACACCGAATGTGGGACTCGAACTCACAACCCAGAGATCAAGCGTTTCATGCTTTACCGACTGGGTCAGCCAGGCACCTCCTGAGTCTGGAGTTTTGAATCAAAGAAAATACAAAGAAAAGTTATTTTTCAGGGTATGCAATGCCAGGTTCTCCTAGAAATAGATACAGAAAGTGTATCTGCCATGTTGGAATGTACAAAGCAGACATACAAAGTAACATATCTGCCAAGGTGGGACGGACCCTAAGCCTTGGTGAAACTGCAAACGCCTTCCCTGACTGTACGGAATGGAAGTCCTTGAAAAATGGCGGCTTCCAGCTTCATAACTCTCATGGACGCGGCCATGTGGTTCCCTTGTCTATCCTTGTAAGAAATTGAACGGCGGAATAGAGTGTAGTACGCCATGATAACTCCTGGCGGGGCGTGGCCTCACAGCTTCTACTGAGCCTGCGCGGAGTTTAATCGCCAGGGCGCCAAGAAACGCCCACAGGAAGCGAGGGCCGGCCGGAAGTGGCCCAGCGCGGCCATTTCGCTTGGGTTGTTAACTGGGTGCAACCCGTCAGCCACAGGCGTGGGACGCTGTGGTGGTTTGGTGTATCGGCAGTGGACTCCTGTGAGGCCAATGACGGGAACTCGGCTTAGGGTGAGTGTGAGGGGTTCGGCGACGAGTGGCGAGGGTCTGCGGAGTGAGTGTTGGGGTCTTCAGTGACGGGGACTGTGGGATAGACGGCGCTTGGGTGATTGGCTCGGTCATTTTCCGTCTTTGCGTGTTTCCCGTGTGTGTATTTGGGGGGAACTAAAATTCCAAGTATTTTAATATCAACTTTTATACTGTTGGTCCTTGACAGCCGTTCATTTGAAGACGGCAAACTGGCTTCTCGGTCGCGCCTCGGGTGGCACTGGGGATGGATCAGGATTCTTGCACTGAGAGTCGTGACACCGAGGCTTTTCTTTCCAGGAAGCAACTTTATTCCAGCCGGCGTCGCTCAGTAGGGTTCCTACCCAAAGAACCGAGCCCCACACACCACGTGGCGTGGTTTTTTGTATATTTTTTACTTCTTTGTCTCCCACATATGGTAACACAAACGCACAGTCTGAGTAAGTGACCTCATGTTCAAGGTCCGGAGGGATGTTGTCACATAGGCGGATAGTAAGATTGCCTTGAGATGTTCTTTTTTTTTTTTTCTTAGGGAGCGGACCCTACCACATTCCTCCCTTTGATGCTTGGACCCCTCTATTTAGGGTCAGAGAGCATCATGTGGTTTGCATTTTTATAACATCATTACATGAGCGGACATCTCTTTTTTTTAATTAAAAAATTTTTTTAATGTTTATTTATTTTTGAGAGAGAGACAGAGCATGAGCAGAGAGGAGGGACGGAGAGAGGGAGACACAGAATCCGATACAGGCTCCAGGCTGTCAGCACAGAGCCCAACGCGGGGCTCGAACTCACGAACCGTGAGATCATGACCTGAGCCGAAGTGGGACGCTTAACCGACTGAGCCACCCAGGCGCCCCAGCTTTGCTTTTTTTTTTTTTTTTTTAAATGTTTTATTTATTTCTAGGAGAGAGAGAGAGACAGACAGCGTAAGCAGGGGAGGGTCAGAGAGAGAGGGAGTCACAGACTGAAACAGGCTCCAGGCTCTGAGCTGGCAGTCAGCACAGAGCCCGACGCGGGGCTCGAACTCACGAACCGTGAGATCATGACCTTAGCTTAAGTTGGACGCTTAACCGACTTAGCCTTCTATGCTTCCCAGGCCCCCCGTTTTTTTTTTGTTTTTTTTAATTATGGCCTCAGGGAGACTGGAGGCAGAGCATACAACCAGGGGAGCTAAGCTGCGTAACATTAAGCATCCTCCTAAAATTAGGATATGGTCGCCTGGGTGGCTCAGTCGGTTAAGTGTCCAACTTCAGCTCAGGGCATGATCTCGGGGTTCGTGGGTTCGAGCCCCGCGTCGGGCTCTGTGCTGACACCTTGGAGCTCAGAGCCTGGAGCCTGCTTCAGATTCTGTCTCCGTCTCTCTCTGACCCTCCCCTGCTCACTCTGTCTCTCTCTCTCTCTCTCTCTGTCTCCCTCACTTAGAAATAAAAGTAAATAAATAAAACAAAAAAAAAAAAAGATTATTAAAAAAATAAAATTAGGAGGATAATTCCCATGAGGCTTTTGAATCTCTCTCTCTCTCTCTCTCTCTCTCTCTCTCCCCCCGCCCCCCAAGAGTTGAAAACCATCCTCCAAAGAACTCCCCCGGGGTTCCAGCCAGTCCAGGTCTGGACTGGGACGTGAGCAGCCTTTGTCATTGGCTCTGTGATCTCCTCTAGGACTTTTTCCTCATCCTCTATCTGTAGGCAGCAGTTGCTCAGGTTAACATTTCCACAGACACCTCTCTCAGAAGCAAGCATGTAATCTCAGGCCAAGCAATGTTGGTAGATGGCATCACACATTTTGGTTTGTTGCTTGGCTAGTAAGTTACGAGCTCTGGCACTTTCACTGGTGATAGTTTTTGTAACTGCTTGTCGTCTAACGCGGTGCGGCGTGTAAATGGGAGGGTGGTAGCCCCGATACCCATCCTCTGCCCAGGTGGCAGGGCCGTAACATTGGATTATACACGAGGCCATTTATTATCTTAATTGTTAATTGTAAGGCACACTGCCTTTTTTTTTTTTTTTTTTTTTTTTTTTTTTTTTTTTTTTTTTTTTTTTTTTTTTTTTTTTTTTTTTTTTTTTGAGTCTCTCTGTCCCTCTACTCTTGAACTCTCGAATGTTTTTCTCAGGCAAGCGGGAGCAGGAAGAAAGATGGACGAGTGGTTTCTAGCACGTATGACCCTGACCAGACTGCGGGAAGTACTGTCTAAACTGTCCTTCCACATCTGTAGTACGGTCCACCCGGGACCTGCCATTTGATGGCCGTGTTGACGTTGTCTCAGGCCTCTCGCAGATGAGAAAAGTGAGACAGGCGGTGGGGATCTGGCTCAAGGTGATCTGGGGACCATTGGGTTTTCTGGGCAGTTGAGTTATAAAATCTTTGGTCCACGCACGTTGAGTTTTTAACAGAGACCGTGGTGAACGTTTTCCCCACGACGCTAGACAGGTTTTTCCAATAATTGAGCTTTTGAGAAGCCAAACCCAATAGGGCTGGGGTGTTTTTTGTTTTTTTGTTTGTTTTGTTTTGTTTTTTACTCTTAAGGTTTGTGGGGATCTAATTTTCTAGTCTCTAATGGCCATTGTTTTCCCACGTTGGTACCAACGAAGTATCCTCTCCACAAAGGGAAGGTGAGTGTTCACAGAAACCTCTCACCACATTTCCAGCCGGCCAGGGCGGCCTCGGCCAGTCCTATGGCAAAGAGCAAAGGAAGAATCAATGATCGTGAGAAACAAGGCGTGACAGTGCATCACAGTAAGGAAACGTATGAAAATAAGGGCAGACTTTTGTTTCACCGGACCATTGATTCTGCGAGCTTCTGCAGCGCGTAGCTCAGTCACCTCGTAGAGCAACTCCAGCAGTGCTGCCGTCTCCCGGAGCCTCTGGGGTTGCAGATTGCTTCCTCCATAGGGTCAGCTTGCACGGCGTTGATGGGTCAGGAATGCACTCCCAGTTTGGAGATGCCGGCTTCACTCTGCTGTGGTCAATCGGGGGACTCACTGCTACCTTTACTGCAGTAGGGGTGGACAAAATGACAGTGAACAGGTGCCTCCAGAGGGGTTTTGGGGCTTGGATATTTCATTCCTTTATCTATATTGCATCTCCTGGTTTATTTATTTATAATGTTTTTTATTTATTTCTGAGAGAGAGAGAGAGAGACAGCGTGAGCAGTGGAGGGTCAGAGAGAGAGGGAGACACAGAATAAGAAACAGGCTCCAGGCTCTGAGCTGTCAGCACAGAGCCCGATGCGGGGCTCGAACCCACAGATGGTGAGATCATGACCTGAGCCGAAGTCAGAGGCCCAACCGACTGAGCCACCAAGACATTCCCCACATCTCCTGGTTTAAAGGGGTGAGCCTCTAGTCAGATTAACAGGTAATCGTTCTCCGACCCAGTGGTGAAAGGTGGTTAAGGCAAAGCCAAGGGTCCACGTCTGTTGTTTTAGGGTTAGATTGCCTGTCTCACTTAGATTCCTCCCTTATGTCCTTAATAATGGGGGGAGGGCACCCATAAAGGATTTTATAAAGGGAGAACCCCATCTACTTCTTTAACCTCCCGCTTGCAGCTGCAGTCTGCCTCCCTGAAGGTCCCTTATCTCTCCCTGCCTAATGTCACCCCTTTCCCTATTTATTTCTCCCCTGGAACAGGGCCTGTAACTTCTGTTAGGGAGCAGGGATGGTGACCGGTCCGGCTTCTTCAAGCTGATAAGGGACGGTGTAGGGCTCCAGCAGCTAGAATCTACCCAAGGGTTAGTTGCGTGGCCCACAGTGTGGTTTTCCAGGAAGGCTGGCAGGCTGAGGCAGCATAAACATTAGCAGACACAAAGAGAAAAACACAAAGTAAAGATTATACTGACCAACAAGATGATACCTTAAGATTGTGTCTACAGTTTCCAAACCTGTGAAATAATCTAGGAGAGACCCTGACTTTGGAAACCACATAGGTCAGGGACTCTCATTACCCAGCTAATGGAGAAGCAGGGGCAGTAAGTAATCAGTGGTGACTCTATTTCCAAGAGTTTGGCCCTAACTTAATTAAAAAAATTTTTTTAAGCATCCAATGCTTGTTATTGCTGAGTGTAAGCAGACAGTGTGCTTTCTTTTGCTGTGTAAAACTTAGCTAAGCCAAACCTGGGTATTATTTTATAAAGCAGAATTTTTATTGCTTTTTGTGCCTTTTCTGCCTTGTAGGGGAAGGCCCTTACCCAATTAGTAAAGGTATTAACCCATACAAACAGATGATGGCTTTTTTTTTTTTTTTTTTACCTTGGCAACTGAGTGAGACCTAATTGTCTTTTCCTGGATAGTTAGTCTCCGGTTCCTCGATTGTCTGGGAGAGCAAGCTTGTGGTTGAAAGGATTGTTTTTAAGACATTCTTGCAGAACTGTCCTCACAACCTCGACAGGTTTTTTTTTTCAGTAAACATCCTTTGAGCCATTTCATAAGTTTTGTCTCTCCCTAAATGAAAGCCAGATGCTGTGTTTTAATAATCTTTTAGCTCTGTGAGCTTGGTAATAATAATTGCCCTGCTCAGTTATAACTATTCCGAGGGCTGGAGAGAGTGTTTAGGAGTCAGACCCCCGTTTGTTTATTTATTTTGGGGGAGGGCAGAGTAGGTGGGATTGAGTCTCCTTTAATAATTGATATAGCAGCAAACTATCTTCCTGAACCCTGGTATCTATAGCCTACAATACCCAGTAATTTTCAAAAGCTCACATAATTGTTTATCTCTCCTGAGTTAGGAGCACCAGAGTCTCTAATTTAGGTATAATGTCCCTTTCAGCAAGGGAAAAAGGGTCTCTGGCGTTATCAGGAAAGAAAAGAAAAATTAGGTTTCCCCATATACATCCCAGGGCCTGAGAGAAAAATTTAGTTAGAAGTTTTCTAGAGGTGCCCCTAATAGTTATGCTGCATTTGGATAGTTGGCCTGGAGTGGAAAAAGAGGACAGAAAAGGGAGCTCTGGTGTCAAGAAGGGAATCAACCAGTTCTTCTATACTTAGAGTTACCGAGGTTCTGGGTTTCTGATAGACCGTCGGTTTAGGGGAGCCTCTGTGAAGAGTCCCAGGCCTCGGTTAGTCCCTTCCAGGGATGTGGGTTATCTGAGCCTCACAGATAGAGGTCTGAGGGCATTCAGATCTCCGGTGATTGTTTCCATTATCAGGGGCATGGCTTAATGGGGTTTTCATTTTGGTTGTCCCCTCTGAGGACATTCTCATTTAGTGCTTGGAGCGGCCATAGAAATGGCACTTGGTGCCAGGACCTCGGGAAGTCGGTCTGACAGTACGTAAGGCCACAACTAAGGCCTTAGATTTTTTGTTTTTAAGCTTCCTTTTCTGTTTGGTTTGTAACAGTCCCGATTGGCATCTCCTAAGAGCTCCTTCAGGGTCCCTTCAAGGCCAACAGCCAATTTTTGCATTTTCTCTGAATATCTAGGGCTGACTGAGTGACAAATTTGTCTTTTAAAATTATCTCAGCCTCAGGGGTGTCAAGGGAGATAGCCATATATTTAATGAGAGCCTCCCTCAACCTCTCCAGGAAGGCCATCAGGCCCTCATTTTGTGTTTGTGAAATAGTGGCTAATTTAGCATAATATAAGGGTGAAATCTTAGATTTCCTTAATTTTTTTCCTTACCCTTCTGTTTCCTACCTGCAGGACCTTGGGGGTACAGACTGGCCAAGCAAGATTTTCTTGGTTGTCATAGGATGCACTAATTTTATTTTGGCCCAACAGTAACTTACATATTGATCAATGGCCATTTAGGGAGGGCTTAACGAGCCAAAGTCAAGGTCTTTTCCCCTGCCTTTTTCAGCAATGCCCACATAAATACGTTTCAGCCATGTGGGTATCCATTTCTGGCATACAGTGGGCTAAGTCTGGTAAAATGGCTCCCATGTATCTTAGGAAAAGCCCTTTATCTATTATGGCAAAGGCTTCCGTTCCTCTGCTAAACAAGAACAGCACAAATGTGGAGGATTTGGAGGCTGGCATCAAGGATATTGCCATTATTTTCCCAGCCTTTGGATCAAAGGAGGAGGAATTTTAATCTTAATCCTGTGTACTTGTAAAATCCATTTATTTTAACCTTAGTCCATCCTGACCACATATAAAATTTCTTTTTAGGGGCGTCTGGGTGGCTCAGTCGGTTAAGCATCCAACTTCGTCTCAGGTCATGATCTCATAGTCTGTGGGTTTGAGCTCCGCATCAGGCTCTGTGCTGACAGCTCGGAGCCTGGAGCCTGTTTCGAAATCTGTCTCCCTCTCTCTGTGCCCCTCCCCAACTTGCACTCTCTGTCTCTCAAAAATAAGTAAACATTTAAAAAATAAAATAAAAAAATTTTTTTAAAGATAATCCTTCTCAAGCCTTTTACAACTTTTCTTTTGCATTTAGATTTTGTCCCAACCCATTTTTCTCCAAATAACCAGTCTCATTTAGGACAAAATCACTTTCTTTTACCTTTAACAAAAATATATTTCCATTTTTTATATCTTTCATACCTTCTACTTTCCTACCTACAGAGTTGCTTTTCTTATTTCCAACAGTCTTAAGTACACTTAGCAGAATTTTAACTGCTAGAAACCTAGTCTCCAGTGAAAACTAAGTAGTAATCAATTGTGAACTCTGTTATATCATATCAGAATTTTTTTTAGATGACAAATTTATGAATCCATGAAACCCAAAGCATGTGTTTCGACAGTTCCAAATATCCTGATTTTTTTTGCAACTAGTGAAAAGTACAAACCTACATCTAGTAATTAGTGCTTCTTACCTCGTTAGATAGCCAATGAACTCCATCTCAATTTATCATGCAAGCAAAACTTCAACATTATGTTACCAAGGACTTTGAAAGCCATCTTAACAATTACGAAAACTATGAGACAGACAAAACTAACCATCACTTTAAGTCAACAAACTTAAATTAGCTTAAACACTGAATGCGTTTTACTTGAGTCCACGTAAGACAGTTTTTTCCCCATGGATAATTTTTACCTGGAACGTTGGTGGGGAAACTGACTTCTGTGGTCTTCGCTCCATGAACTCTTGGGGTGGGAGGAGGAGCTGATGGTCCCTGAGGCCCTGAGGAGCCAGTTATGCAGGCTGCCCTCCCCCTCCAGGTGGTACAGAAACCGGACGGGGGAAGGGAGGGCAGAAGAGACAGGTGCCAGCAGAAGAGACAGGTGCCAGCAGAAGGCAGAGGAAGAGAATTCCCAGTTTTAAATCTTGTCAGCTCAGGCAGAGGAGCAGACTCCAGGTTTGTTCTGTTTTGTTTTGTTCTCTACTAGTGGAATTAGGCAGTCCATGTCA